GTAGGTGCTTTAGACCACTGAGCCATCTCACCAGCCCCGCTTTGTCAATTTAATGCATGTTGCATGTTATGAGTCGGTGGCGAAAGAAACGACGAGAAGACCTGATGAAGATAGCCTCAGAGGTCTCACTGAGATTAGTCTCTCTCCAAGGGAGCCCAGAGCCTGGGAAGCATCTCACTTTTATTGAGGGCTAAAGAAGGCTAAGGAATGTGCATAATTACTTTGGTGAACACCAACTATTGTCTCTATTGACTTGAGTATTTACCTAACTTTAAGTTTACACTATGCTAGCCATTAACATTCCAAGCAAGGGAGGAGACAACAAACTGCGGTGCCAGCCAACCGGCGCCAGCAGGAAAAGCTGCTATCTGCAGCCTTGAATCCCAGCTTGCGGGGATTTACAAGTGAGAGACAGCAGCTCTCCCTGGGCTCTATCTATTGCTCCCTGCTCCCTTGGGACATTAGATTTTGTCTCGCATCTATATTTCTAAGTCCAGAACATATTTGTCTACATTTTTTTTTTGAGTACTGGGGATTGAACTCAGGACCCTGCACTTGCTAGGCAGGCACTTATTCTACTGAGCTATCTCCCTGGTCCTCCACAATTTTTTTTTATTAGTGCTTATTGGTTGAACAGATTAATGGGTGTTATTTTGGCAGATTTGTAAATGTACATAATTTTAATCCCTTTCCCCCTGTTATCTCCCCTTCTGCCTACTTTCACATTTTTAGGGATTTCAACGCATATAATATATTTTTTTATCAGTACATGTTTGCCAGTGTGTACTGTTTGCATTCAGCTTGGGGGCTGATACATATAGATAGGCGTCTTGATCATTTTTACTCCCCCGACCCTCTGTCCCTCTTTCTCCAGGTCCTTTTCCTATCTTAACAGAGTCAACTTCACTGATTCTCAACATGGCTCTTTATTTTGCTGTTTAAATTATTTCTAATTTTGAACTGGGCATAGTGGCACATGCCTGTAATCCCAGCATTTAAGAGGCTGAGGCAGGAGAATCACCACAAGTTCAAGAGCAGCCTAAGTTACATTATGAGTTCAAGGCCAGTCTAAACTATGCAGTAAGACCATGTCTCAAACAAACAAACAAAAGTTTTAGTCTCAGAAACACCACAAGATATTTAATCTGACTTACTTCACTTAGCATTATGGTCCTGAGATCCATCTTTTTTTTTTTTTTTTTTTTTTTTACGGAACAGGGGATTGAACTCAGGCCTTGTGCTTGCCAGGGAAGCGCTTATTCTACTGAGCCATCTCCCTGGCCCCTGGCAGCTTTTAATCTTAGAAATCCAGGGTACTATTTGTTTCACAACACGGCCTCCCCAGCAGATTTTTTTTTTAAGACAGGGTCTCACTATGTAGTATAGGCTGGCCTTGAACCAGTTTATGTAGCCCACGCTGGCCTCCAGCTGACAGTGACCCTCCCACCTCAGCCTTCCAAGTGCTGGGATCACAGCCGTGTGCCACCACACCTAGCTCAAAATGCATCAATCTTTTTTTTTTTTTTTTTTTGCGGAACCAAAAAAATTGAATTCAGGCCCTTGCGCTGGCCAGGGAAGCACTTATTCCACTGAGCCATCTCCCCGGCCCCGCATCAATCTTAAATACACCATCTTTTCCTATCTTCTTATTAAAATTAAAGGAACAGCAACTATCCAGAAATCCTGAAGAAAACAAGTGAGGCATCAAAAAGTTGAATAACCCTTGATATATATATATAAAATTTTAGTTGTGAAAAAAACTTAGTTGTGCACATTTTCTTTTTTTGTTTTGTTTTGCTTTGTTTGAGACAAGGTCTCACTAGTAGCCCAGGCTGGCCTTCAACTCATGGAGATCCTCCTGTTTCAGCCTCCCAAGTACTAGGATTACAGGTGTGTGCCACATGCCCTGCAAGTCGTACAGTTTTACTAAATTAGCATGCTAGTTCATTTTAAAATAGATAAAGCCTAAAATGTAAGACATTTCAAGCAGGCAAGTATGCAACACTAATAACATCAAAAGCTATAAATCGTGACACAAGTGAATATACCAGGCATTATGCTAAGTGATTTGCATGAGTTGCAGTTTTGTTTTTTTGTTTGTTTGGTTTTTGTATTTTAGGATAGGGTCTACAGGGTGTTCAGAGTCTCACTATTAGATTGGATTTGTAGTGATCCACCTGTTTACAGCCTCCCAAGAGCTGGGATTACAAGCCCACGCCACCACACCCAGTCTCAGTGCGCCCCGAAGAGGGGACCACATGGGAGGCCTGGGGATCTAACTCCTGGCCCCTGCGCCTGTTTGGAGGTGCATTAATCCACTGAGCTATTTGGCTGGCCCTTGAGTTGTAGTTTTTTGGTTTTTTTTTATATTTATTTATTTATTTATTTATTTATTTATTTATTTATTTTTTGGTGGAACCGGGGATTGAACTCAGGCCCCTGCACTTGCCAGGCAAGCGCTTCTTCTACTGAGCCATCTCCCCAGTCCCAAGTTGTAGTTTTTAATTCCCTGCTCCTCACATCATCTGCATATGTGCTTTCAGTATCATAAATTTGCTTCTCATCACCTTTGCTGCTTTTCATTTCTTCATTGTGCTTTTTAATTTAGTGTCAGGAATCGAACCCAGGGACTGGTGTGTTCTAAGCATCAGCTCTGCTACTGAGCTGCATCCCAATGTCTCATACTGTACTTTGTATCTGATCCCCCTTGCAACTTTCTAGAAACATTATAGTATTTTCTCTCCTGTTTGTGTCCTCTCACTGTGATATTTTCACTAACATTTATACATGTTCTCTCTAGTCTTCCTTGTCCAGATACTACTTAACTTTATTTTTTTTTAAATTTTTTTCTTTATAATCAAACTTCTTTTTTTTTCACCTGGAGACAGGGTCTCATTTCACTCCTCGAGGCTGACCTTGAACTCATCTCAGTCCTCCTGCCTGAGCCTCCTGAGTGCTAGGATTACAAATGTACACTACTATGCCCAGATCAAACGTCTTGAAATTACTATACATTCTTTTATTTCCTTTGGGGGTGGCAGTGATGCTTGAGTTTAGGACCTTATGCATGATAAGTGTGCCCTCTACTAATGAGCTGCGCTCCTAGTCTCCCTTTATTCCTAGTCTCTGTCACTCCACTCTCCCCTCCTCTTCCCTCCTCTCTCCTCTCTGTCTCTGTTTGTCGCTCTCCCTCTCCCTTTCCCCCCTCTCTGTCTCTATCTCTCTCCCTCTCCCTCTGTCTCTCTCTCTCTGTACTGGCGATTGAACCCAGGACCTTTGCACCAAGCTACAACCTTAGCCCTTAATATTTATTTATTTGTTTATTTATTTATTTATTTGGCTGGCTCAGGATGCCTTAAGGGCAGGTCTAGTAAGGCATGAGGATCTGGGGATCGAACCACAGAATCCTGAGCCTGACTGCTTTGCTTAAGCAAGCACCTAAACAACTGAGCTAATGGGCAGGCCCCCATATTTATTTATTTATTGCTACTGTGGCATTGGGGAGGTTGAACTAAGGGCCTTGTACATGCTAGGCAGGCTCTCTACCATTGAGCTAAGTCCCCAGCCCTCTTTTTTTCTTAATACTGTGGTACCTTGGTTCATGAACTTAATTTTTTCCGTGATTCTGGTCACAAACAGAATTGGAATCAAATTCAATGGTTAGGTTCAGTGTTGAACTTATGGGGACATTTGATTTGTTTTTTGTCTAATTCACTTTGCAACCAGAATTGTGGAAAGAATTGAGTTTGTCAACTGATAACCACCATATAGTATACCCCTGTGAAGTCGTGGTTCAGAGTTTGTGGCCTCAAGTTGTTTGTGGATTTTTCTTTAGAACCTAGCTAATAATTGTTCACAGAAACCCTGTAATTTTGCAGAATCTTTAAATATACTCCACCTTTTTATTTTTAATAGTGAGAGGTTTGCAAGTATCTGAGAGCATTACTCAGTTCTTCCTGTTGATTGGCTGCTGCCCTGTAACCTACCTATGGCAGATATACCAATGAATTTACAGCTTTATTAATACAGTATTTTATTAAATTAAATTGTATAACTATAAGTGACA